TCTGCTCCTATGATGCTGCTTGGCCTGCTGTGTTCATCCAGCCCTGCACCTCGTTGTCTCGGATTCTCCAGCATCTACAGTTCCTACTATCTCTGATTACAAGTAATACCCTGGCTATGATTAACAAGTCCAGAAAAAGTAGCACAAATTCAATGTGGCCATTTATTGCCTTACCACTCTCCTCTCAATCATCAGCAACTTTCCACTGACTTGAGTTATCGATAGCACAAAGAAAGATAGTCACGATAGTTGGAGGACAAGTCTTTTGACCATCTACAAGACACAAGTCAGATGTGCGATGGAAAACTCTCCACTTGCCTGAAGGGATGCAGCTCCAAGAATACTCAAGGTCAACGACATAACGGAAAAGCAGTTCACTTGACTCACCGTAAACACCACCTTAAATATTCATTCAATCTGGCTTAAGCAGCAGTCCTCAAGACATATTGCAGTAACTTGACAAAGCTCTTTCACTCAAACTGTCTGAAACTGTGAACTTTACTATCTAGAAGACAGAAGTCAGCATGCCCAGGGTGAACATCATTGCCTGCAAGTTTCCCCCAAGTCATACACAGCTCTGATTAACAGTATCACCATTCCTTCACTGTAAAATCTGAAAATCTCTTCTTAACAGCACTGTGCCTGCACCACATGGAATGCCGCAGTTCAAGGTGGTGAACCAACACTACCTTCTGGAGGGCAATTAGAAGAAAGTAGCTGAACACCAAGAAAGAAGTGCCATTAATAAAAGTTTAAATATAAGGATTTCAGGACAGTGAGCAGGAGAAACCTCTTCATCAAATTGAGAGAATTCACTTCCAGGGTTTTTGATGGAGGTACAAATCACTTTAACATTTAAGCATAGCTAGATTAGAGAGATGGCGTAAGGATGAGAAGTTGAAGGCATATGGAAACAGGGCAAATAAAAATTATTGGGAATATTTTTTCAGATGAATGGTTAGTACTGTACTGCTTGAACAGATTGTCTATTTTTGTGCTTAAATTCTGTACAGTCCTATGCATCATCCAGTGACACCAAAGGATGGGGTGGGAAAAATGTAATACTGGTCAGTAGGAGGCGTTATTTTGTCATTAGAAAGGAGTACACTCAACTTCAGCAACAGCAGCAACTTCACTCATTATCTAATTAAACTGGGGATGCTTGATTTCCACTGTAATGAAGAGTAACAAACCAAGTATAGTATCTCAAAATATTCACCATGCTCAATTAAAAACAATTTAAAGCACAAGTAAAATTAGTCATTTTTCTGACAACTATTGTCTGAAAGAATTCAAAAGATATCACCTGGCAAATGGTGCCCTCAAGTTTCTACAATCTCACACAGTGCTTACAGAACATAATTTTTTGCAAGTAAACATGCTCTGCAGAAGCTGGCTTGTCCAGCATTACTGGGACTGTGCGGAGGAACTCTGAATTATCTTAAGTTTGTGTTGCTCTTGAGACTGATTTTGGGATCTCTTTGTTACTGGACAGAAAGTAGAAAAAAATTCAGATTTTTGGCATGAACACACAATGATACAAATAAACTTACTGTTCCTTGCTCCAGCAGGAGCTGGCATTTGCTGAGACATTCAGGGCTCTCAGTAAGGTCAACCAAGGCTTTCTCTGCTTGTAATCGTTGGACTGGATCTGTGGCCTCATAAAGCTGCTTACAAATTATCTCCAACTGTGCCAAATCCTACAATGTCAAACAGGTTTAGAAATTAAGACTGAACAAGGCTTTCACAAGGATGCCACATTTATTTCACAACATGACACTTTCAAAATGTTGCTTTCAATCTTTGAAATGAGCAAAGAAGATTTCTTACAAAACTGAACTGCCTAGAACTCCATAGATAGTAAGAACTGCAGATGCTGGAGTCAGAGATAACACATCCTGGAGCTGGAGGAACACTGCAGGCCAGGCAGCATCAGAGGAGCAGGAAAGTTGACGTTGGCTGAAGAAGGGTCCTGACCCAAAACGTCAACTTTCCTCCTCCTCTGATGCTGTTTGGCTTGCTGTGTTCCTCCAGTTCCATGCTGTGTTGCCTCGAACTCCAAATGTGAACACAATATATTTTTGTACAAGCATTGTCCTTTACTCAAACAGTATTTATTTAAATAAAAACACACCATTGTTTTGTTAGCTACTTACGTATAAAAGCATCCAACAAAAACCATAAAAAACATTTTATAAAACAGCATTTAGGGCTAGTAGTTGCAAATATATAACTGATCCTTGTTCTCAGAAACATCTAATATTGAAAGGATTTTTCCAACCAATGCATAACACCTTGTCAAAATAGAAGCAACTATATTAATAAAATTAAATATAAAGTCAAAATAATATGTATGAAGGATGTTAAAATACGCCAATAATTGCCATGCGTCATGAATACTTATGTCCATAACAAAAAGAAACGAGACTCACAGTTCTATTCACTAACTCCCCAATTGTTTTCTTAACATTCTCCAAGTGAAGGAAATTGACACAACTTGCCAGTGTATCACTTGTTTCATAGAATACCCCTTCTTTTTAACAATTTGACAGGTAGGGGTCTTCCAATATGTCCAAGGCAAATTTGTCAGATGCTCTATTGTTGAACCACAAAGACCTGACAGTTCTTAAGTTTCACTGCGAAATATATAGAATTAGCTAATGACACTAAGGAGGTGGCTGCGGACATTCAACAACTTACCTCAGTTTCACTCAATGTCAGGAGGATAACTCGGGCACCATTCCTGATCACGACACAGCTCCCCTTACGAGAAAATGCATATGTAGGATTTAGCAATGGCATTCTAGTGCATAGCTGGGATTACATGCAAGGTCAAATATAATGCAACACTCACTACCTAAGGTTATATGCAAAATTAAACTATTCAACTAATATACCAGAGTACTTGCAAACCTACACAATAAGTCACCAACTTTGTGCCAGCAGCAATAACAGAAGCACTTCTAGGTCATGAAACAAGATTGGTACTTTGCTGTTACACAATTGCAATTGCTGCCTGGAGATGAGGATCAGAAACCGCTTCAACTAACATCTGCCATTGTCTTTTACACTAAATGGTTCAAATCCTCACCTCAAATCCTCACAATTCTACATGATTACCTTAATAATAACATTACAAAAGGTTTTAAGAGAAAAAAAAGATTTCATTGCATTTGAATGGAAACCAGGATACTTGGCAAATGACCAGCAACAATCCCATTTTAAATAATAAACCAATGACATTAGTTTCAATTTAGCTGTATTCCTCAGTTGGACAAATTCCCAGCATGCACTGCACTATGGATAACTTAACATGGCACAAGAATGAGAATAACGAGTCAACTGGTCACCTTATGCACAATAAACTGCCGAATGAGCTGTGGTCAGCCTCCTGAATATAGACAATACTTATAAATCTAACTGCTGCCAGTATACATACTATCTATGACAAACACTGAAAATCTAATTTATGTCTTGCTAACACCCAGTATATAGATGTAAAAAGCATCTCTACAAATTCTAAAATTTAAACATTACATAAAAACACATCTTCAGTGAGTAACAAATTGCTGAATGAGGCACCAAAGTGAAAAGAATATTGTCACTGGTAATGAATATATTGTCCATGAGTGATCACATCAGTCCATTACTGAGAGCAACTTTCATGCTTCTTCCTTTTTTTTTATTAATAAGTAAGTTTTTCCTAAAGATTAAATGACAGGCTGGTATCTAGCCCAACAAAAATGTCATTACAGTTCAGGTTCAATACAACATTCCTTGTGTTCAGAACAACAAAGCAGCATCCAGAAGTATGACACTGCCTCTGATCAACGCTTTGTTTATGACAATGCCCCAAGCGTAATCACAAGCTTTCTCCTCTCTTATGTGCAACAGACAAGACACAGGCTATACGCCAAGATCTAGTGTTAACTACAAAAGCTACTAAATATCAGCTCATCAGTGTGAAGCACACAGACCAGAATTAACTTAATTATAAATAAAATATTTAAATTGAGCAAGAACCACACTCGAGATTAGCAATTTACGTTATTCCATAAACTATTTCAAAATAATCTTTCAAGTTCATCCCAGTAACTTTTGAACTGAGTTTCTGACGTATTATGAAGAATTGGTCAATCTGGAAATTATCTCCATCCAGTCCAAAGAAGACACCAAAGAATCTAGGATTATTCTTAAGAATTCTACAAATGCAGGTATGCTTCCTAACCTGCAGATGTCCAGAGTGCCTTGATATTCAACTGTATAAAAACATTACTGTACAGAAGCCCTGGAGGATTAGTTGAGGTAGGCGAGATTTTGACCTGCCAAAGGAGGCTGCAGACCTTAGAGGCTGAGGGGGTCTCAGGTGGGAGCGAACACAGGTCCCACGGACAGCATGGGATTCAGTGCCATGGAGATGGAAGGGATGTCTGACAACGCAGGGAGATAAATAGTAGCTGGGATAGGGGGAATCACCACACTCAAGAATAAGGGGATGGTGGTTCTCAGGGTTAAGGTTTAGAAGTTGTTGGGATGGAGGGCCTCAGGATCAGGAGGTGGAGGTCTCTCGCTCAAGGGAGATGGAGTCATCATGGTCAGGGGGATAGATTACCTCTGACATGGGGAAATTGAGGTTTTCAGCAATAGGGAGATGGAGGGTCTCAGGGCCAGGAGAAATGGAAGGCTGTAAGGAACAGGGGAGAGGATTTTATAACACAGTGTGGAGCTGGAGGAACACAGCAGGCCAGGCAGCATCAGAGGAGCAGGAAAGCTGACGTTTCAGGTCGGGACCCTTCTTCAGAAATGCCATTTCTGAAGAAGGATCCCGACCCG